AAAAAAATAATAAAATAATTAGGTCTATATGTAAATAAAAAGATAAAAATTACACGAAATTTAATATAATAGAAATTACATACAAATAACGTAATATACAAATTAAGTATTAAACTAACATTTTTATCACGAAATTTCTAAAAATTCATAAGAAAAATTTTGTATGCAAATTTCTTCTTTTCTTTAATTTTAAACTTTAATTAACCTTCTATTCTTAATAACTTTAAACTTACAAAAAAAATTATTATTATTCAGTTAAACCGAGGAGAGAGAGAGTTAAATTTATGGTTAAATAAGAAGAAACGAGTAGAAGGTCAAAAAACAAATTATTTCACTAAAATCTTAGAAATTAGTATTATTTTTAAATAAAAACAAAATATTCAAAATATATTTTTTAAATTACAGAGTATAGAAATGTATGTCCTCCAAGTCAAACTTAAATTGCAATTTTTTTTTTTTACGTTGGTGTAGGGGGGTCAAAGATCGAAGGTGACAAGCGTGCGACCTTTCACATCGCTTCTACAATGACAACACTATTACGGAATATCACGCTATTTTTCCGTACCCGCGGCTAAAATTGACGATTATTTTAAGGCATAAGGGCAAAAATAACATATTAAATATCTTGATATTTTAACCTGTTTAATTTAAAAAAAATGGCATCACTTGGCAAAACCATCAAATGTTTTGTTTCCTATTGACTTTATTAAGCCATCAGTTCAAAATTTCATTATAGATTTCCTGAAAAACATATGGAATTTTATCTTTAAAAAGATAAAAAAATAATCTTTAAAATCTTATTAAGTATTTTTTTCCATTTAGTTAATTATCTTTTATTGAAATATATTTTAAATTTTATTTAATTCTCCATTAAATTCTATTGAAAAACTTCACAATTCTGTAATTAATACAATTTTAAAATAATATTATGAATGAATTTTTACGTTATTAATATTTTAAATTTATTTATTATCCTATTCTCTTGCTTTAAATATATAATAATAATATAGGAAGATGCATACAAAGAATCTTAATAAATGTTTAGAGCCTGCCTCACCTGCAAATTCTAAATCCTCGCATCTCACTAGCGAGCATGTTCTTAAATATAAAAAAAAAGGAAAAAAAAACGAATCCATTTGTATTTTTATCAGATTTATGGATTTTTTTTTCGTGTTTCATTCTTACTTTCAATTCCCACAGTATCTTGGGTGACTTATACGGGGAAGAATATTGACATAGGTTTGAATGCATCCGAGGAAACAACACTTCCAATGCAGACAAACAGGTCTTAATCGGATTTTCGTTTGAATCGGCCACGGAATTGCAATAGGTTCCTCTTTTTGGTGTTTTTGTTATCCGGAAAGGAAATGGTTACGTCAGCCGGGTCATTTTTATGTTTTTCGATACTATGAATATGATGCAGGTGGGATTTGAATAGCCAGGTGTTAAGAATAATCGATTGCGACTTTACTTAACGTGGTAAAGAATATATAAGCTGTATTATATGGGTTTATGGATTCGTATAGATGTAGAAAAATAAAAGTATAATAAAAAAAAAGCTAACTTGTCTGATTGAAGTTTAAGCTGTACCAATGAATCATATCGCATTGGGATCTAACAGATGGATCTTGCTCTTGCTTCAAATTCTTCTTGCTTTTCTTACTTATATTTTTTTTTCTGAAGAGAAGTTGAAGCGAAGTATTATGTATGTGTAAATCATGTAAATTTGCATCACTTATAATTTTATAGCATAGAATATTTTTATAAACAAAATTCATATAGAAAGATTTTCTTCTAAATTGCACCAATTTTATTATAAGTTTGTGGGGTAATTTATACTTACTTTTGCTGTTTATTATTTAAAAAAGTTCATTATTTCTAAAAGTATAAAGGTACATAAATGTTACCTTATTATAGATTATTTTTATAATTTGAAATTTGAAATTATATAGCTTAAATTTGAATAATACGACTTCAAATTTAAGGGGAAAAAATTGATTTATCTATAATTAAAACGAATTAAAATTACTTTTACTTAAATACGAATCATAATTAAGTTTAATTTTCGAATGGTAGATTATTATTCACTTACTGTTTTCTTTATTAAATTAATAAAAAAAATTTCAAATTAAATTCTCAAAAATGGCGACTAGAGAAACTCGAGTATAATTTAGTAAATTTGTCTTCCTGGTTGAAACGGCATTAAAGAGGCGTGCCACCCATTTAACATAAGTTGGATATGATATGGGATTTGAGGGGTTAGCTGCCACCTTCGTATCCGTAGACCCCTGACCTAAGAATATCGTCGGTGACGTCATACTCGGGAGCGGTAAAGTCACGATCGTCAGTTGACATGGAAACGGTAAGTCACGAGTGTGCTCCGTAGTGAGGAGGTGAGGTTAATGCAGGTGTTGATTTTAAGATGTCCACCTGCAAACTCTGTAATTTGACAAAAAAAAAAGCTGCATGTAATCATACAGGTGTCGATTCGCGTATTACAGAAAAGGAAAGGCGGCCATTTAGAAATTTTTATAAAATTATTAATTAAATGGAAAATTATTTATTTATTTTTTAAATAAGTAAGTAAGTCGATTGCTAAATGGCCCGATTATTTTCTATGCAAAAATCACTTATCGTATGGTAAAATTTTCTAATTTTGATTTCATGAATTATTTAAGTCGAAGAACAAATAAAATTTCAAATATTTTGCTCTTTAAAAGGATGTAGCCTACTTTTACATCTGTTTTCGAACTTAATGTTGTTCTATATTTACAAATTAAACTCTAAGACATCTAAAGATTAACTTTTAAGGTTAAAAAATATATGTTACGCTAAATTAACAGGTCACTGCTAGCTTAGAAAGATATTTTTTTAATACTATTCTTATGTAAAAATGAGTTTAAGAAACTTAAAAAAATATATATATATTTAACAGATCATTCTACTTGATATTTATAAAATATGGTAAAATAATTAATAATAAAATTGTAAAATTTTAAATTTGTATCTTTAAATAAAATGATTCCACAATAGAATAATATTTTAAAATATTCCATTACGTCGGTCAGTTTGTCTGCATACTGCATAACTGACTAATTTATAGAAATAAAACTTTTTGGATGTATTTAAAATTAAATTTTGTTAATATTCGCCATTTTATATCATAAACAATAGTTTAACTGAAATAGATATTGGGGACTCGAATTAGAACGTACAAAACATCTTTGTACTATTGTGAATGAAGAGTGAACTCTTAGATATTGTATATAAATATGTATAAGTGCGTTTGCCACATTCAAATCTTTTTATTTTAATTATTTATTTATTTTTTCCTTCATTTATTTATTTACAAAGGTTAGGCCCCTGCTTATGCTACTGATCATAAATTTCTGGAACCGACTTACACACAGGAAAGAATAATCTCTATAGAAACATTTTATTAAACTATATAGACTATATTTTTCTAAGTCATCTGTTCAAAAAGAGGACATGTCCGGGAAAAAGAGGACATAGCTATTTAAAATAGAGTTATAGTATATTGAATTTATTTATAATCGTAAATAAATTAAACTATAAACTATAAAACTATTAAACTACGTATATAGACTATATTTTTCTAAGTCTTTCTATATTTTTATAAGTGTTTCTATAGAGATTATTCTTTATTGTGTGGAAGTCGGTTCCAGAAATTTATGATCAGTAGCGTAAGCATGGACCTAACCTTTGTAAATAAATAAATGAATAAAAAAATGCAGGTGTTGTAATATATTATAACCTAGTATAATTAAAACTATAAAGCAGTTTATTTAAGTTTTAAAACAAATTTTATTTTTAAAATCCTCCATATTCCGGCAACTTGCTCTTTCGTGCATGATACTTTGATTGCTTTTCGCACGGCAAATTCACACTTTCGTAAATTTTCAGCCAAGAAAACAAAAATTTCGAGCTATTATGGTAATGAATTATATCAGTTTTAGTTTTAATAACAGCAAAATCATCTGTGAAAATTAATTTTTATTCTCTATTTTCTATTTAATTTATAGTTTTAAATAATGTTTATACATATTCACTGAAAAATAAACCTTTTTCTACCTTAACAAGAGACATTGTAGCTCTCTAGACATGGAACTCCACTCCTTTTTTTTAGCATGCAAGTCTATTGTTCTTCTATTAAACGTTCGATTTTCGCAGGCAGTTTTACATAGAATAGTAGACTATCTGTAAATGCAAACTTAACCGTAATTGTGTTTGCAGTCATGGCAAACCACAAGAGAAAACAGATGGGTACCTACGGAGACTCGTGATCTCATGGGCCCATGGCAAGGACTCATAGTGGAGGGATTCTGAGATAAATACTAAAAGTACTAATGCGAACTATACAAATTTGAATTTGAATTTGGCATCGTTAGCAAAATTACCACGAAAGGTCGAGAATACAGTAAAAATGATTCTGTTTGAAATTTTGTTTTCATATTTTTTCTCCTCCCGTGTTTAATGAAATAAAAAAAATTTCAAAGTTTTTATTTAATTTGTAATATTTTGCTATTACAAGGGATAGGTGATTTTTCAATAATAAATAAAATAATATAAGCAATTGCAATTTTCGCAAACGAAATCTGAATTTCGTTTCTTTCGGATTTCGGTTTCGTTTCGTCAATACCACGAAATAATGAATATAAAATAGGAATTACAATGCTAAATTTTTCTCATACCAGCAGTTTATAAACTGTCGTACGTATTATTACACGTAAAATAAATATATTTATCGAGTTTATTCGCGAGATCATGGTCATGTTAATATGCAAATTTATTACTTAATGAAGATTTTACTTAATTTTTTAAAAAAAGAAATTATTTTTTCGTTTAGAAAAAACTGTTTCCTAACAATACATTGTTACGTAATGATGTAAAAAAATTAAAATATCCTTCTGTAATGCTATCAAATATTAAAATAATTATCGAAAATTTTATTAATTTATATAAACTGAAACTAAACTTACCTTTATTTGATTCCATGTAATGTCGAAGGATGTAAAAAAAAAATTCAGAGAATGATAATCAGCTTCTTGTTAAGATAAGAAAATGTAACTTAAGATCCGATATTTTTATCCCAAATTTTGATTATTATTTTTTATATCCTGATAAAAAAAAATCGTCAATGAAATTTAGTTTTTTTTTCTATAATTTTATTTTAATTTTTAAGAAGAAAAGTATCATATTAATTTAATTGACATTCTTAAGTGGATGACAAATTTATTTTAAAAATAATTCTGATTATTTTTAACCAAATTTTGATTTTTTTTTCACTTTAAATTTCGAGTTTTATTTGGCATTTAATATGTTTTTTTTTAAATTAAAAATAAGAGTTAAAATTTTACTTTTCTGCTTAGAAAACTGAAGAAATCTTCATATCTATGAAGATTCCTTGTACTGTAATTTGAAAATATCGTCGTTAACGTTACAATAGTTTTATAATATATAAATCATAATAGAATATGCAAAAAAAAGCTCAGAAATATTTTATATTTAAATTATATTTTAAGGAAAATATTAAAATTTAACGAGATATTTTAAGGGGGAGGGAGGGAGAAAAAAAAGCGACTTTTAATTTAAATTAAGCACTCCCCTCAAAAATACTAAAACAAGCAAATTTTAAAAATTAAATAACATTTTCCATAATTAAAAAAAATTAAATTTAACTTTTAAATTATATGTTTTAATATATTTAAATCGCCAAACTTTGATTTAACGCACGAAATTGGCATTTAAGTCAAGTTGGTGTTAAACCGAAGTACTTCAAACAATACGAATTATATATGTTATAATGAAGTCCATACACACATAAGGTTGAGTTGGGGGGGTGTTTGCAGGTCACGTGACTTGTGATCTTGTCGTTTTCTGTACAATAGCGCCAATGAACACGTTTGCAAGTGTTCATTGGAGCTATTTAAGAGTGAGAGGTTTGACTCTTAGTATAAAACTATTAAACTACGTATATAGACTATATTTTTCTAAGTCTTTCTATATTTTTATAAGTGTTTCTATAGAGATTATTCTTTATTGTGTGG